CTGATTTGAGTAATGCCTTTGGACCATAAGAGCTTTGAAATGGGTAACGTTACCGTGTAGGCCAAAGTGGCACTCAAAAATGTAGCGAATTTTTCTTCTTCTTTTTCTCTCCATATTAACAGCTGTCGTAATGGTCATTATTTTATGTATATCTGTAGGCTAGACACCTTTTAAAAGCGCCATACGTAGACTTAGTGTTACATCAGCGTTAGGTCACTGTTAAAATAATTATTGGAAAGAAACGCCACGAATTTTCTCTTTTGCCTCTTATCATATCACATATTACAAGAGCACTTACTTAAGCATACAAGCGTTTTTAGTATTCATAAAGTCGCCATTATCGCCTATGTCTTATTGAGTATAAATAGTCAATTATTTCTACCGTTAAATGATTTTTCACCGAATGCTTTGTAAACAAAAAGCTCGTAAAGAAAAATTTTTAATTCAAGTACAAAAATACTATTTTATTGCTTTATTTTTTTTTTAGAAATTGTTACCCAAGCATTAGATGCGATATGCCAAGGGTTTGTCATACACTGAAACATACATACAAAAGGTCCGAATAAATATCTATACTCTTGATTGACATGAAAGCGGGAAAAATGTAGTTGTTTTTGTTTGTCCGTCCGTCTTATCTCACTAAAGGGATGTGAGTCGACATCAATTTTATTAAAATATTCGCAAGATTTAGGAGGAAGCTACTGTGAGTCTATTAAATTCTCTCTATCTATGTAGATATGACCATTAGTACGTTCGTGACATGCCTTTTCCTGTTTGAAAAGTTCAAGATATTGTCTTCAAATTTGTCAAAACGATGCATTCCTTGGACGACTCTTGAGTACCTGCTAAAAAAATGCAGAAAATAAGCCACGCCCACCTAGTATTGCGAAATATCGAATCATAATTTTTTTATGTTTTCTTTTCTAAATAAAGGTAGTGTGTCCAAAAGATGCGGTCACAATTCAGGTCAATTTTTAGTTCGATTTTTCGAAATTAAAATCTCTGTAGAAATTGGTGATCGGTCACAAAATTGTGTATATATATATATATACTTCCATGTGGAGGGCACTCTATTCTAGTTTCAATTTCTAATTTGTAGTTTTTAGTAACGAAAACAGGGAAGAAGAACTAGCGCAAACACTAAAGTGGGCCATGACCATGATGGCTTTTCAATAGAAGATGTTGCATGGACAGTGATAGAAAAAGTGGATCATTTGTCCAAAACACGTCAATGTAACAAATTTCACCAAAATATTTAAAAAATTGCAGCCAGTAAGTGGAAGACGAGAATGTATCGACAGGTGTCAGACGGACAGATGGAGAGACAAGCTTAGATCGATTCTGCAAATGATTCGGAAACGATCGGTACAATAAAAGATTGTATTGGCATAAGAAACAAGGCGGACAGGCGTACAGGCGTTCGGAATGTGAGCCTTAATCGATCGGTATAGCAAAAGGTCAGTCGAACACCAAGTACATACGCATGAACCTAATATACTTTTGTACAAGTTGTGCAAGGTATAATCATATATATACAAAGATGATAGAAAGATAACGTGCCGAAATGTCGAATAGTCAAGAAAATTTGATTGTTCAAACATAAATCGTATAGCTGTGTACGAGTACTTACGAAATTCAATGCCTTTCTCTCGAAACATGGTTTTTCAAGTTACGACCTGTAACCGAACTCAACTCAACTACAATTTTCATTCCTTTCATTTTAATTTTTCAAAGCATTTTGAAAATAACATCCATCTAGAAACTCATTCTTTAGAGCACCTTTGCGATAAGTCATCTTCAGCCCTTTGATGTCGAATTTTAAATTTTTGCCTTGAAATACTCACCAATTACTCAAAAATCCGTATGCATTTCTCTTGGTCAGCATTAAATTCTAAATCGATTTCAGGATGTCCGTCCGTCTGTCTGCCCGCCTGCATAATGTTTGTTGTAAATATCCTCATGAAACATTCAATTTCAAATTTGGCACAAGCAAAGGATGTTCTTGCACGCAGGTTGGTATTGAAAATGGGTCAAATGGGTGGAAGGCGCACCCACTCAATATTGTAGAATATGAAAATTCCTTTTTAAAATCGTGGTGATCGATATAAAGGCTTTAGTCACGATCAAATATAATTTTCATAGTTGTTTTTTTCCCCAAAACAATCTTCACGACTACAGCATAGTCAAATTGTTAAGAAAAGCGAGCATCAAGCTCGCATACTCAGGTTCAATCCTCGGTGCGGTAGACTGTAATTTAATTACAATTGTGGTCGTAGCTATAAAGAATAGTGGTCGTGGTGGGTAAAGCTGCAACACTAAGTGATAGGCTCATATCTCCCACTTCCCGACCGCCTATGTCTTCTCACTTCTTTGCAAACATTAGCGTTCCACACAAACACAGGACGCCCGCTAAATGTTTCGTCATGTCGTAAAAAAGAGAATAAAAGTTACATTCACAGCCGCAGAACCCCTTGAATTAAACATGACTCTAATAATTTCCAAAAATAATTTCATTAATATTTTTAAAAAATAACTTTTTTTTAGATATAAGAAAAATTCTTGAATAGTATTAGGTCGACTCATAAATAACTTCCGATTCCGGTAAGCATGGTGTACTGTTCGTCACCGAAAAAAGCGATTTCCCTATATAGATGAGGATTCAGTTAATCTTCCGTCAATCGTTTTTCTTAACTTCTCTGAAGTGGAGAGTCCAAAAGCTCACATTCGACTGGTAATGCTTTGGGAATTTAAACAACGCAATAGTGCCAAAGCGACAGCAGAAAAAATATGCGGTGTGTACGGTGAAGGATTGACAACTGATCGGGCAGTTAGAAATTGATTTCTAAAATTCTGTTTCGGGAAGTCCTTCCGAGGACTTTGACGACAATATTGGAGCAAAATCTACGCCTATCAACATGAGGTATAGCAAAAAGATTGAATGCCTCATGATTAACTATTAAATTAATGTAATTTTGTTATTCAATGAAAACGAAAAACGAAAATTATTTATGACTCAACCTAATATTATTCTGTGAACTGGTATTAAAAAAAAGAGGGAAAAACTGTCAAGACATTTCTCTTCTTAAGCTGTTGCAGTAGTGCCCTTCTCCCTTTAGCGAAAGTTATTGGTAGTGTAATCGATGGAAACAACGAGAATATTTTATGCTATATTATATGTATATATATAGAAGAAGAATAAACGTATAATATATATGTATATTGGCAATAATAATCGGGTCAGATATAAGTAGACAATCGGTAAAAATTACAAATGAAAATTCCTTACAACAATGGATTGGAAAGTGAATGCAAAAACATATTAATCAGAAACAATGCGTAGACATTGATCGGCAATTAACAAAAATTGAAGAGATTTTCATACATTTATTCAATTCAACAGATACTCTACTGAAAGTAAGCTGCAACTATTCATTTGACAGAATTTTTGTTATTATATATGTAT